AGTCATCCTGCTCCCGCACCGTAACTCCTTGAGGGCCGGGCTACCCCCCCCGCCCCCCCTTCCTCCCCGCCGCTGCCCGCTCACCTGGTCCCGTGGGACCGGGGTCGGGGTCGGGGTCGGAACCGTCCGGTCCCGCTGCCGGCAGCCGCTGAGCCTGCTAGCTCCAGCCGCACAGAAAGTCTTGGAAATCATACATATATACCTACCTATCTACATACGTGCTTTGTGTGTTTTATATGCTTTCACCTGTTTTAATATTTTAGTGTGTTTTAATGTTTTATGAATATTGTATTGTGTATATTTGCCTATATATTTTAGCTATTTTCATTATTTATATATTTATCTATATATTTTATTTTCATTATTTATTTATTGCTATATTTTAGCTATTTTTATTATTCATATGCATGAAACTAAGCGCGCACATTTAGTTTTAGTCTGAAGTTGCCTCTCTCCCTGCGAACTGCGTCCGGGTAGGATGAAATGCATCCTGTTCAATATGCTTTTAATGCACAGGGACTGGGGCGAAGCCAGCTCCTACGGCTCCCACAGGAGGGTGGCTGCAGGAAATGCCACGCAGTTCCCTGTTATCTGCCACCTTATCTCTTTTCTGCCTACCTTGGGAAGCGTGGTGGGAATTTTCACCATTCACAGAGGGACTCTTCATCCAGGGCACGTGTGCCCATTTGGCTCAAGCATGTAGAGCGTGGACTGAGTCAAACTGTGCAAGGCATGCTGACATTGAACTTTTGGAATGTCTTGAACTGATTTTGGCCAAAATTACTACTTTTTTTTGTTTGCTTGTTTTAATTAAATCGGTGCTGTTTTCTCATGTAAGGAAGACTGGAGAAAGACCTGATTCTGCTTCGGGAGGTGCTAACGGGAGGGCACAGAGTGGGGAGAACAGAACGTGGGGAATAAGAGAGATGATAAAGAGAGGATACAGTGACTGAACTTGGGTGTCCTCATTTGGACTTCCTTTAAAAAAAAACCCAGATACTGATAATGAGTTTTCTAAGAACAGCCTGGATAGCCTCAGGAAAGAAGCAGGGTACTAGTGGTTTTTTTTTTTTTTAATTTATTGTCCCATTCTGCCAGTAGCGGAAAGGCAGTGGCAGTAATTTTGCCCAGTGGAGAGAGATTAATGCTGAAACACAAGTGTGAGAGAGCGATTTTCAACAGCAGCAATCGGTCTCTGCCCAGTTCCCCGTGCACGGTGGAGGGGAGCTGTAGCAGTGGTCTTCCATAACGTTAGGTCTCCCTGACAAGGTCTGTGGTGTTAGGCATAAGAATAAAACGTACCAATGACGGTGTGTTTCATCAGTATCAAATCAAAAGATCCTGTTGCAAGGTGCCAGAGGATTAAAACAGCCAGACCAGATGAGCTCAATGCTCCGGACAAGCCTGGTATTTGCCTTTTGATAACCATCAGGGGCAGGTACAGCAGGGACGGGAGCTCCTGATAGCACATGGACGTACACGTCTCCGAGTCTCGGAGAGGGATTTCCTTCTACTGCCAAGCAGCTCACAGGCTGTTCACTGCAGACAGCCAAACTTTTCCTTTTCCTAACCCAAGTGAAAATACTGACTATTCCTAAAATTGCCAGAGCTTGGTAGAAGACTACATGTCCTTAATAATGTCTTCTCAGCAGGCATTTTGTAAGTCTTGTTTGTAGCTCTGTAATTTTTAATTTTGTAACCTTATTTTATGAGTTGTTCTTTTCTCCTTGTGTCATGAAAATGTCTGTTCCTTAGCAATTTCCAGAGAACCTTTTTGTGCTGATCACTGTTATATAGGGATCAGTCTTGCTGATGGGTGTAGTTACATCTTCAGAGTGAAATGAAAGCAAATTTCAACTGTTGTTCCTTGTCTAAAAGTCTCTAAGCCTTCAGTTATTATTGTCTCCTTTTGCATTTTGGGATTTTGTTTACTCTTTTATGTGATTGTCCATGTGACTTTTCAGAAGTACAAAGTATACTTACATGCCCCAGTGGAAGTTGCTCGTTAATGTCTTAGAAACTCAGTTTGATAATCTAGGACAAAGAATAGCATTCAAGGGAAGGAGGAACTCCAATTTACACAATAGCATTAAAATACTTCTGCTATTACTCTGGACACTTTCTTATGGAAAACCACTTTTTTAATTGGTGCTGCACATAAAAGAATTACTTTGCGCTGATCTGTCTATAAGAATGGTTAAAGTTTGGGGAGGGCTTAAAGTGGGTTAATTAATCCACACGGTACGACACTGAGTTACGCTGATTCATCAGTAGCCACATTGTTCAAAATCTTGTAAGCTCTGAACAAGCAGCACTTACTCATGAGTTAGCTACAGGTCAGGAGATTTGTCTGTTGGTACTTTAAAATGTATAAGTAGTATTACTGAGAGTCTAAGACATAATTTCAAGATACAGAGTAATTTCTTTCCTGCATAGCATCTTTGTAATACTGCAGACTACTGTTCTTGTATCCTTTTATTGCTATTTTTCTTCATTTCACTGTACAGGTTCTTTTTCCCCTGTCATTTATGCTATAAGCCAGGTGGCTGCATCATCCTGACATACAAAACTTTCCTAAGGTGGGATTTCAGAAATTCTCAGTTTTTATCCAACTTTTTCTTCTGTCTGAGCAATGAGCATTACTACTGTACATTTCTGTGGGAGCAGAGGGGCTAGTTCCGAATGTTGTAAAAAATCTCTCTCAGACTGTCCACATGTGAAAATGACTCCCCATCACAGCTGAGGGTGAGTTTATAGCCAGGGAGCCAATCCAGGATCACCCCATGTGTCACACTCTGTTTTCTAGGATCAGTATGGCGACTCTCAGACCCATTCCAGAACAAGTTTTGGTTCTTCTAGAATTGGGAACAAGCCCATACCACTTTTGCTCCTGATAACCTGGGAGATTTGCAGACAGGAGGCTGTTTTCAGGAGAGGTGGGTGACATCAGCATGGAAATGCTACTGCCACTGAAGAATTCAACAGACTGCAGAGCTGTCATGGTCAAAGCTTGTCACCCCTCTTCTGTCAGCCATCAGGCACATGTCTGCAAGAAGCCCCAACATGGGAGGTAAAACCCAATGCTACCGGCAGTAGCAGGAGACCTTGCTTGCTGAATGCTGTGAGTCAACTAAATGACTATATAAATTACATTCCTAGATGGAAAAATAAGGTCTTTTAATAAAGTAAGGGAATTACTAGGGCTGTAGTATGTTCCACTCTGATTTATTTGTGTGTTTGATTTGACTGTTCTCTCTAATAATCTCCACTATTCTATAGTAGTAATACAAACCACTAATGTTTTGTCGTCTTTTATGACTTCAGATTGTACTGTTGACAATAAGAGAAGGAATACAACTGAAAATGTGGTGTTCTTCTGTAAAAGTGTGAGTTTGTGTGTGGAAGTGTGAGTTTGTGGAAGAAAATGCCAGTTGTTGGTAGACCATTCAAGTGGGATCCTGACAATGACTAAACAGATAACTTCCAAATGTATTGAGTGAGGTGGAAAGCTGATGTCCAGTTCCCGTAATGTATTTTCCATTGAATCCCTCAAAGCTCGGAATGAGGGATCTTGAGTTCCTACAGATCTTGTAAAAAGTGGAGATGAGTTCTTTGTAGTCCAGCAAAATGTTAACACTTCACCCATTCTAGAGCTCATTTATTTCAAGGATCTTGATATTGAGCATGCACTGACATTAAAGGGTCTGTTAATGTTTATGTGCCTTTCCTCTACATTTTCCAGAGTTTTCATGGTACAAAGCATTAGTAGTATCATCTTCAACAGTCTCCATCAAATATCCCAAGCTTCAAAAACTGGATTATATTTTTTTTTCCCCATACATTTTCAAATAAATGGTCACCAGTGGCTCCGCTAAGAGCTTGCATGTGTGAGCATTAAACCAAGCTGCCCTGTGCTGCATTTGAAGTGAACAGGTTGAACAGGTCATTAATATCCTGTGTTTGTGTTTCTCGTAAGCAAATGTTGCTTTGAGAAGCTGCACGTCACCGAAGAGCGCTGGTGCGCTTGGCTAACGGCCCTTTGCTTTTGCAGCTTTGCAAGTTCTTTGGTTCTCTGTTGGTTGTTTGCCAGGGAACGGCAGAGTTGTTTGGGGATTTTTTTTTGGTGAAAAACTCTGTGGATTGCTCATTTTTCTTCCCTAAAGGCAGGCTTGCATCATTTTTAAACAAAACTAGGATGTGTAGTAATAGACTTAATTTGTTTTACAGGAGTGTATCATATGCAAATACCATGAATTTCCATGCCTTAAGCTAAATCAGAGGTTTAGAGGAAAAATTCGTAGTTAGCTTTAAATTCTGTCCTCATTTTCAGCTTTGTGTGTTTAATCTCGAGAAGAGAAATAATGCCACGGTCTTCTCTAGTCAACTTTGAGGCTGGCAGGTATGCAGTCCTAGGTGAAAGAGATCCTGGAGATAACTGTTCTTGGGGAATATCTGAA